TGGTCGCAGGCTTGGCGTCAGTTTTAAACCCAAAAAAAAAGAAAAAAAAAGGGGGCAAAGCTACTTACCAAGCGGCGGCCTTGGAGTCACAAGGGGACGGTGGTCAACGGCCGGTGGTTGTGGTGAAAGGCCGGTGGTGGCTGTTGACATGGTGGTGATGGTTAGGGTTTCCTAAAAAAATTAATTAAAAAAATAATAATAATAACTACACTCACTACAACAAAAGAGGGCTATAACAACGTCATTTTTTGCAACAGTTTGATTAGTGTCGCTATAACTAGACTTATTGCAACATATTTTACTTTATTAATGTGATTAGTCTCGGTGTATTAAAAACTGTTGCTGTACAAAAAATATGGCAACACTTTTCAATGAGTGAGTCAAAGATTGTATGAGGCAATAGTTTACTTTATTAATTAAAAAAATAATAATAATAACTACACAGTACTTACCAATCGGCGACCAAGGAATCACGGCGGCGTAGTTGTGGCGGATCGACGGTGGTCGCCAATGGCTCTTTTTCTGTTTCTCCCTTTCTCTCTCTTCCTCTTTCTCCCTTTCTTCTCCCTTTCTCTCTCTTCCTCTTTTTGATTCTTTCACGAAAAAAATCATAACGTTGCCCTGTTTTTTAATTTTTTTTATTGTTTTAATGTTTCCGACGGAATAAGAATTAATTTTCAACATAATTCCTGTTTTTATTTTATTATTTCCGATGGAATTAATTTCCCTCGGAAAAAATACGTCGGAATCATTTGAAATTCCGTCCGAAATCATCTTTACAAAATATATAAAGTAAAGGACACATGCAAATGATTCATTTACAAATTATATAAAGTAAAGGACACACGCATTATACTAAACAAATATATCATAATTAAACTAAACTAAACAAATATATTAAACAATTATTAAATATTATATTAAACATTATATCAAACAAAAATATTAAACTAAATAAACTAACATACACTATATTAAACTAAACTAAACTAACATACATTATTATATTAAACTAAACTAAATTAAACTAACATATCATAATACAACATTTAAAAACTAAACTAAACTAAACTACCATATCATAATACAACACATTCATTTCAAATATTTCAACATATGGGTTTATATTAGACTAACCTATAGATTTACAAATCCTACAAATAATTAAAATTAAAAACTTAATTAGGGTTTATGCTGTCAGTTTTTATTTAAAAAAAAGGGGGGGGGGGAGGGAGGGCAAGACTTACCGGGGCAACAGAACAGCTAAATGAGGCTGGTGGTGGTTATGGCCGCAGGCTTGAGATCAATTTTTAACCAAAAAAAAAGAGGCAAAGCTACTTACCGAGCGACGGCCTTGGAGTCACAAAGGGACGGTGGTCAACGACCGGTGGTTGTGGTGAAAGGCTGGAGGTGGCTGTTGACATTGTGGTGATGGTTAGGGTTTCCCGAAAACTTTAATTAAAAAAAAATAACTACACTTACCAATCGGCGGCCAAGGAATCACGGCGGCGTAGCTGCAGCGGATCGACGGTGGTTGCCGGTGACTCTTTTCTGTTTTTCCCTTTCTCTCTCTTCCTCTTTCTCTTTCTCTTTCTCCCTTTCTTCTCCCTTTCTCTCTCTTCCTCTTTCTGATTCTATCATGAAAAAATCAGAACGTTGCCCTGTTTTTTATTGTTTTAATGTTTTCGACGGAAATATTTTACGACGGAATAAGAATTAATTTCCAACATAATTCCTGTTTTTATTTTATTATTTCCGACGGAATTAATTTCCCTCGGAAAAAATCCGTCGAAGTCATTTGAAATTCTGTCGGAAATCATCTTTACAAAATATATAAAGTAAAGGACACATCCAAATGATTCATTTACAAATTATATAAAGTAAAGGGCACATGCATTATACTAAACAAATATATCATAATTAAACTAAACTAAACATATATATTAAAAAATTATTAAATATTATATTAAACATTATATCAAGCCAAAATATTAAACTAAATAAACTAACATACACTATATTAAACTAAACTAAACTAACATACATTATTATATTTAACTAAACCAAATTAAACTAACATATCATAATACAACAATTAAAAACTAAACTAAACTAAACTAACATATCATAATACAACACATTCATTTCAAATATTTCAACATATTTAAACATAAATACAACAAATTGTATACACTACATTAAAAACAATAATAAACTAACATATATCTAAATACAATTAGTCACTAACATGCCAAGTATAAACTAAACTAAGAATTTTAGGGTTTATATTAGGCTAACCTGTAGTCCTATAGAACTGCATTTGTAATTTACAATCAAACCACGTAAATCTACAACTCCTACAAATAACTAAAAGATGATTGATTTAATATGAGAAAGATATAAAACATTATGAATAATCTAATATTTACTCTATATCAATACACATATATGTGTCAACGATGTGAAATAAATATATATGTAGTTTTACGTAATTTGTTAATTTATAAATAATTTTTATATAATTTGTTTATGTTTTTTGAACCTACTTATAAAAAATGCTAGTTTCTTTATTGAGGTTGGTATTATTAATTATATGGCTTGCTATGATGGTATACGTAACGTCTATGTTGGTAGGTATGATCAGATTATTATCCCCTTTACTACCAATTAAGTGAGTTTCAGAACCACAATTATATGTAAGGTGACTCTAGTAGTATCGATCTCACACTGTGTAAACGTAAGTCCCGTAGTATCTCATGTGTTTGAACACTTTTTGCCAACTATGTGCGGTTCTTAATATTTCATGTGTTTAGCTCACTACTAATATACTAATAAATTATTGTGTTAACTATTTTGGCTTTTTTTATTTAATTTATCATATTATGATAAGTTGGAGTTAATGTAACATACCATCTCAAAAACTATTATTATTATTATTTTTTTTTAATTAATTTTTTTGGGAAACCCTAACCGTCACCACCATGTCAACAGCCACCACCGGCCTTTCACCACAACCACCGGCCGTTGACCACCATCCCCTTGTGACTCCAAGGCTGCCGCTTGGTAAGTAGCTTTGCCCCTTTTTTTTTTGGGTTAAAAACTGACCCCAAGCTTGCGACCAGAACCACCACCAGCCTTATTTAGCCGTTCTGCGATTGGAACCACCACCAGCCTCATTTAGCCGTTCTGCAACCCCGATAAGTCTTGCCCCCATTTTTTTTTTAAAATAAAAACTGACAGCATAAACCCTAATTAAGTTTTTAATTTTAATTATTTGTAGGATTTGTAGATTTACTTGGTTTGATTGTCAATAACAAGTGCATATCTACAGGTTAGCCTAATATAAACCCTAAAATTATTAGTTTAGTTTATACTTAAATATGTTGAAATATTTGAAATGAATTTGTTGTATTATGATATGTTAGTTTAGTTTTTAATTGTTGTACTATGATATGTTAGTTTAATTTGGTTTAGTTTAATATGATAATGTATGTTAGTTTAGTTTAGTTTGATATAGTGTATGTTAGTTTATTATAGTTTAATAATTTTGTTTGATATAATGTTTAATCACTACAAGAATCAGGTCGATTTCCAACGGAAAGGTTCCGACGGACACGTAAATCCGTCCGAAATTTTCGACGGAATTATACTCCGTCGGAATTTTCCGACGGAATTATACTCCGTCGGAATAAATGTACTTTCGGACAGAATTTTCCGTTAGAAATGACCATTTCTGACAGATTTTTAGTCCGTCGGAAAGGTCCGACGGAATTTTCTGTTGGAATATAATTAAAAAAACAAAAAACCCATTTAAAAAAGAAAACCTTAAGGCAGGCCCCCACCTTCTGCTTTCCGCCTTTTTTTCTTTCCTCTTTCTCTCTCCTTCTCTTGCGGATTTCTTCTTCTCTCTCCTCTTTTATTTGCTCAACTTCTGTTTCCTCTTCTTCTCTCCCCTCTTCTCTCACCACAGCCTCTTTCTCCTCTCCTCTTCTTTCCCCTCTTTCTATCTCACATTAACAACGCTACCACCGAAACAACCACCAACGTCAACCGCAAACCAACGGCCACCTTCCAACAACAACCACCGCGAAAAAAACCCACCGCGCGAGCATCTCAAGGTTTCCACAACAACAACACCACCGCGAAACAACGGCCACCGTAGCAACAACACTCATAATCTTTTGTAAATCTAGTTTTAGTTAAGGTTAAATTGTAGATCTTGTTTTGATTTTTGAACATTTATGATTATAGTTAATTATTTTTGTAATCGTAATTGTAGTTCATAAATTTATTAGATATTTGTAATGATAATAGTGAATTGTCGTTTTTTTTTTTTTTTTTGAAATTCCGATCAAATATGCATATCTATTGGTTTATATCTTGGTTTATATCTTGTTTTTATGGTAATTTTTCATTTTTTTTTGGTTAATGGTGGTGTTTTGAGGTGGTGGGGTGGGGCTAGTGGTGGTAGGGGCTGGTGTGGTGTAGGTGCAAATGTTGTGTGGGGCTGGTTGCGGTTGGGCTGGTTTTTTTTTTTTTTTAATATTGTGGGTGGTGGTGGTCAAGGTTCAACAGGGTGGGTGGGTTGTGGTGTGGGCTGGTGGTACGGGTTAGGGGGGCTTGTGGCTGGTAGTGGGAGCTGTTTTTTTTTGTTTTTTTTATTGAATTTTCCGACGGAAATTCGGAATTTCAATTAAAGTAAAAAAAGTGCCGACAGAAATAATTCCATCGGAAACTAGCTTTCTGTCAGAAAAGGTTGAATTTCCTACGAAATTTCGACTGATTCCGACCGTCTGAATCAAGCTGTTTTCTAGTAGTAATACAATATTTAATAATTGTTTAATATATTTGTTTAGTTTAATTTAATTATGATATATTTGTTTAGTATAATGCATGTATCCTTTATTTTATATATTTTGTAAATGAATCATTTGCATGTGTCCTTTACTTTATATATTTTATAAAGATGATTTCCGACGGATTTTTCCGTCGGAATTAAGCTGTTTTCTAGTAGTGGTATTTTCTGACAACATGAGTTGAAGTTATGACGTGTTACTCAGAAAACTCATTATGCTGTTTTCATTTTTTCTTTCGCCTTCACTTTTACGTTGCTCCTCTCTCTCCTCCATTGAAGCATTTTCCGAGCTCTCCATTGAAGCAGCTTCTAAGTTTTTTCTCTTCCAATGAAACGGAATCTGAGCTTTCTCCCCTCCAATGCAGCAGCTTCTAAGTTAAGATTATTTTTTAATTTCTTTAATTATCGAATATTAATTTCTCAATCTAGGGTATTGCTTTACAATTATGTTAATTTAATTGTTTAAATTAGGGTTCTTCTAATGTGGATTATTGAACTATTGGTTATAATTACTGAAGTTATGAATGATTATAATGAGTGATTTTGTTGTAGATTTTTGCTATGTGCAATTGACTTTGATATTCTTAAGCGAAAATAATTTTATGTGATTTATGGAGCTTAATCTCTTAATTACGGCGAGTGTGGATTATTGAGCTATTGGTTATAATTACTGAATGATTACTGAATTTTGAATTGCTAAATTTGATAATTGGGTCTTAGAATGTATTTAATTTTTTTTTCTATGATTTTTTGAGCCTAATTTAATGATTGAGACAAATGTGGTTGCTAATGTGATGTAGGTTTTTGTTTGGACGGAATTATAGATATGGACCTTTTCTTCCTGGGCCGAGGGCGGCTGCCCCTCCTGCCCTGGCTCAGGGACGGGCCTGGTATAGTGTAGATGATGACAATTCTAAGAGAAATGATGAAGTGTTGGAAGATAGAGATCCAAGCTACGAAGCAATGCTCAATAAAATGGTTGGAAAAATCAGTTCTAAGCCCGGTGGAAAGCTTGAAATGGGCGAGGTTAGGCTTTGATACATTTTTTTAAATCATTCTACATGTTTAGTTGCTTATATGCTAGAACTGTGATCTTTGTGTTCTATAGTTGTTATTTACAAAGGTAAAGATCAAAGGAATTATCTTTGAACTATCCTTGTTGAACGATTGATCGGGTATATTTTCAAGTGTTTGACTTGGATGTTTTTTTGTTAAGTATTCCATGGGCTTAGACTTTGTCAGAGAGTTGTTTTCTAAAGCAGAATGTATATGGGGCTTTCCTAAGATCATAATTCAATAAGCCTCCTTCGGGACTGGTACTATGTCTGTCTAAAGACTGAATTTGGGAAGCCATTGGGGTGCTTTTAGACTATGTTACTTGGACTAAGGTTCTCATTGACAAGGGTATATTTTCAAGCTTCTGATTTTGCTGTTTTTTTTTTTGAAAAATATTCCATGAGCTTAGACCAAAATGAAGGGTCAAAGTGTCCATGCCCTTGTCACACTGCGAATTAAAACAAGTACTTGAGTTGAAATGAAAATTTCGAGTAACATAGCTACATTGGTTTTGTGCAAGTTTGAAGATGATAGGATTACATTATTTCTTTTATAATTAGTTTGGTTGGTGGTAGTTAATAACAATATTTGTAATGAATTTATGTATAAATTGCTAGAATTGATGAGTAGTAAATTTTTGGTGATGAACCTTTGCGCTTAAGTGATTTGTTTTCTCCATAACTTCAATATCCCCTCATTAACTTCTTTTGATTAGTTGTGAGATGCTATGAAAATATATGGAGTAAAACATAAACTTTGGGGTAAAGTTGTATTACCCTAGATATATTATTCCCATTTACATAGTTTTTTTTTTTTTTTTTTTTTTTTTTTTTTTTGGGGGGGGGGGGGGGGGCGGAGGGAGGTAGGGGTTAAGTTTTTGACGTTTTCAGTAGTGAAATATTGATCTTTTATGAGTAGCAGCACTGTATTCTGAAATTAAATAGTTGAAGTTTCAATAAGAATCTCTCTTATCTCATAATAAAAGGTGTACTTCTTTGTTGAATCATCCTCATGCACCCTCTCTTTTGTTTTGAAATTCCTAGGTAAAGATGACGGTGTAAATTTTGAATTTGAGTGTCTACTAGAAACTAGAAGCTAATTATCATGCTCTATCAGTCTATCTAATACCTAATTATGGAGAAAGAGTAGAATTCTAAGAATAAGTGTTTTGAGGAAGTTATAGTTAAATAACTAGATTGTGGCTAAGGCGATGCCCCGGGTATTGAAGTTACCTTAAGTTTAAATACTTATAGATATTACTATGTATAAATACTTAATTGGTATTGAATCTAAAAAAATAGCAACCAAGGAAACACCCATTAGTATGTGATTGATTTCTTACAAATTAAATTGTAGTTTAATGTGCCTTTATTTAGAATTACATTCTACGGAAAAATTAAATAAGGAGGCTACACATATGAAGAGTGATGATATATAGGGTGACATGTAAGGGTGACACATAACGATGACGTGGCGCCAAATCACATTGGGGAATGGTGACACATGGCGATAGCATGTTGTCCCTTGTCCCTTTGTGTTTTAATAATATTATAGATTGAAACATTGAGGATGTTTTCCTAGGGGTTTTGTGATGGTGTCCAACAAGAGGTATCAACACTAACACTATACAACCATGTCACGTATTCATTTAAATTATCTGACTAATAAGCCACTTACATGTTGATGAACTTTTAGCCAAGGGGCTAATTAAAGCAAGTTCAACTTCATTTTCCCTTTATAGTCTCACTATAGCTGGTTCCATGAGTAAGTGTATATAAAATGCCATAAACTAGACTAACAAATAGCATTAGTTAAATTCGAGATATTTTGACTTGTGAAATGAGTTAATTTGTGTAGAAATACCTTTTAAGATTGCTCAGGAGTGGCTACTATTATAGTAAAATCAGAAAATTGACATATGGATAATGCCTTTTTAATGCAAAAGATAGTTCATAATACTTGTTGATTATGCCTTTAGGGGCTTTTGGTTGGACAAATTGGATTGGGGTGGAACGGAGTTAAAATCCATTCCATTTTTTGGTAGGGCATTTTTGCCACGGAACCTCATACTAGGGAGATTCCAATTCCACCCTATCGCCCTAGAATTCCATGCCCACGTCACTACATAAGATTCACATTCCTTTTTAATATAGATACAAACCCTAACCCCCACAAGTGGAGAGAGAAGTTGCAAAAGAACAACGACTACCTCCTATATACGGTGGGTTGGCAACCCATCACAGGTTAAAGTTTCCTTCTTCTCCAGCATAGTAGTCAGCTATAGACTAGTTGCCTTGTAAAAGTTTGGACTTCACGAATTTGCAAATGAGGTTCTTTCATGGACTGAATATTCTGTAGGTTTCATAGTTTTAGTTGAATAACTATGGTGTGAAAATTTGACATTGTAACTGTAATTTTGCTTTTGTCAAATGTTCTTCTGGAATTGTTTTTGGTTCTGGTTTGATATGTTTTTTTTTGGCTTATGTTGTTCCTTATTTTGTTTCACTTTTGAGCTTCCATTTTGTAGACTAAAAAAAATGTGAAAAGTATTTAATAGTGAATGAATAAAATTGGGCTTACATATTTTTTAAAAATCAATATATAAATAAAAAGGATGGCATTAAATTTCACATTGTTATGAGGTTTCAAATCCATACACTGTTGGTATGGATTTGCATTCTTTTTTCTAGTTTATTTAACCAAATGACCCCTTAGTTTAACATTTTCATTTTCTTGAATCATTGTTAAATTTATTTTAGCCTATTATAAAATTTGACGTTTCCCTACGCTTAAAAGTTGTCACATTAGTTATACAAGCTTGATAATAGAAGAAAAGAGTAATTTAATCTATACTTTCACCTGTTTTAAAAATATTGCAATGTTTGCCTTTTTAAAAAGTTAAACATCATTCTTTTTTAAAAAAGAAATCTAATTTCTCCTTTCACGCTTTTAATACCCAATTACCCTTACTAACATTTTGTAACTTTTTCTTTTGTTTTGTTTGTAATTCACATGGAAATTTGGTTTTATAACACTCTTTCCTGCTTCCTTAATATTTGTGCACCCTTCAGGAAGTATTAAATTTCGGACAATCAAGTGCTTATATGGTATGCCGTGAATGACATGCTCTCCATACATTGCCCGACTTAGCGTAGTGATCATGGCTCTTAAGTGTACCAAATTAGTTCCAACACCACAAGGCTAGCTGATCAATGATTTACCTTTGACATGGTAGAATTTTCGTAATACGTTGATTACATTTGGTTTACAGTGACTCTAGCGGTCTAGCCTGTAGTATATCAAGTATTTGACTGAAGCATAAGTAGCTAACTGTGCCAGCAACAAACTAGAGTAGATGTTTTAGTGTAGATTTTCTGCATACCTTTCTCATTTTAGTGTAGATGTTTTGGGCACATGACTAGGTTGACTTGCCAAAGGAAAAATGGAAACGGCATACAAAAATTATATATACCTTCTCAGAGTTGTTTTTCTTGAATTGCAAAACTAGTTCTGGAGTCTGGACTTTGGGTGATTGATTATATAAATTATATGTGAATTACTAAATATTGTAGGACACCCAAGTGATCAGGACAAAATACTTTATTTTCTTTTGAGAATGCTTTTTGTTGCCTTTTCTTTCTTCTTTGTGCTTGTTGGGGAGGGAGAGGGTTTACTTTGCTAGCGTAAGCCTTTTAACTTTTTAAGTGATTGGGATTGTCCTGATGACTTAAGACTACTAGAGGGCGGTCTCTCTTTAAAGTGGTCTCAGTTATTTTTATCAACCCACTTGGTGTTGCTTCCTTGAAGAACTGCTTTTAGTTGATGTAACTTTACGTAAAGCTTGTCTGCTCATATGGTGCAGGCTAATGTGGTACAGAAGCCTAAAAGGCCCTTGCCAAAAGTTAGAAATACGACTCCTGAGACTGGACGTTATGAGGAAAGGCCTGTTGCTGCAGGGACATTAAATGTAGCTCAGTTTCGCCATATAATGCGTCTTCATCAAGGCAAGGCTGATGAGCATGATGGGCCTCTAGGTCTAAAAGAGGTTGCTGAGAGATTTCAGGTGGATGCTGTACAGCTTGAAAAGATATTACAGTATGTATCCCTGCCACCTGAGGATAATACTAACAGGAAAAAACATGAGCTTGAAGACTGATTTCCCTTTCCTAGCTAGTGGTAATAGTAGTTCAGAATGACTGATTGCTTTTTGATACAATCAGTTCAAAAGTGTATTTGCGAAATATATATCCATATGAATGATGAATCAGAATAGTGATGATAAATTGACTTAATAGCACTACAAGGTACTGAACTTCGGTGAGAGTAGCAATTAAGAAATTGAAGTTTTATTTGTTACAAATAAGGTATTGAGCCGATGACTGGAGGTAATCTATCCGACACGCTTTAAATGGTAATATGTGATTTCCTTTAAAATAAAATTTTTGATTTACTTATTATTATTTTTTTTTTCTCTCTTTTCCGCCTTCCCTTAAGCTTTCACTTTCCTTCCTTTTATGGTAGGTTGGCCCTTCCCAACATTATAGTCCATAGTCCCACAATTCAACACAATGAAAATTTATACAATAATATCGACATAAGATTCAAATAATCTAACTCAATTTTAACAATTATAGCAACGTTTACTACTTTTACATTTTTATTTTTATATAAAAAAAACCACCCCCACCCACCTTGGCCACCGCACAGACCACCTCCCAACGCTAGCCCTCCCCCACCCCTAACTCCTTTCTCTTTCCCCTTGTTAGTTTATTCCCTACCCGATACTTTTCTCTTCTCTCTCCCTAAACGTCGTCCTTCATCAACTGAGTCCAACCTAAACTCATGGACCCAAACCGGAACCCACATGAAAAACTACCATACCCACCTCGAATTCCTAACTACTAAAATATCACCATATTTCTATCAGTAAATGAAATAGAGAGGGGAGGGCGACGGTGGGAGGGGAGCGAAAGAGAGAGGGACCGACGGTGGGTGGGAGGTGATCTGAAGTGGCTAACTAGTGTGTTTTGGTCAGCAGGGGGTGAGGGTTGTTCTATGGTTAGGGGAGGGCGATTTTTTAAATTTTTTAAAGGAGAGAGAATTTAAAGTTGATGATGACGGAGATATGACAGAACCCCAAAAAAGTAAGAAAAAGGAATAGAAAGTGAGCGATATTAAAGGAGTTTATTTTCCTTCATTTTTTGGCAATGTATAACTGGTTATACACAGGGGTGGACCTATTCATGTGCACAACGGTGCACGTGTCACAAGTAAAAAAAATTTAAAAAGTTTGATGTTTTTTTTTTTTTTGTTTTTCTAAAAAAAAATATTAAAGAGGCCGGTTATTATAGATAAGCGGTCTCTTTGATGCTGCTACTATTGCATTACAAGAGCTTTGCGTTGCGCTATGTGTTTTTTTTAAATATCAAAGATCGATTATTTAGATAACCTGTCTCTTCGATGCTGCTATTGCATTTCATGAGTTTTGCACTGCTTTCTTTTATAATTAAAGAGGCCGGTTATATTTAATAACCGGTCTCTTATGTTATCTCACTTTTTTTTTTTTTAATAATTTTTGCTTCAATTTATATCCTATATTTGTGCAACCAATTTTACTATTTCCCCCCAAATCTTATCAATTAAATAAAAATCATAAAGTTAATGTAATAGTTTTATAGTACCATTTGTTTGTAACATGCTATTTGTAGTAATTTTGACTTGTAAGATTGAATTTTTAAGTACTATTTGGTTGTAATATAGATTTTTGTGTCCTATTTTGGATTGAAATCAATTTGGTGAAATATATTTATATATAACTTTTTTGATTGAAATTAATTATGAACAAGATCCGAAGAAAAAAAAAATTGTACTCTCATAAGTGATCAATAGTTGATGGTGACTCACTATTTCAGAAATCTTGGATCCGCCACTGGTTATACAAGGTAAAAGGGGGGTTTACCAGTTTGAGCACTTCAACTGCAACTTTGGAAACTTTAGTACTTTATCTGATATGAAACAACCAAGAAAAGAGGGGAAAATCAACTAACAACAATTTCAAATCAACAAAACAAGATAAACCTATCTCAACAATCACCAAGATCTATGAAATAGGATTCTTAATTAAAGCCAACACAAAGTAAATCTAAGATTAAGGTGTAACCACAAAGATAACAAATTAGCAATAAAAAAGATAACAAATAATCACAAAGATTATGGGTAGAGAGAGAAAATCTCATAAGATTCAAAATTAAGCAAAAGTTTTTCTAAACAACAAACTTAACCCTATATATAGGGCATTACAAACAAAACCTAGAGTTCTTGAATTACAACCCTTGGATTAGAAATGAAAGGCCAAGATTAAAAGCAAGATAAGAAAATCAAAGAAAGATCAAAAGCCGCTATGAAACAGGGGGTCAAGAGCGGTCGCTGTAGTGGGTTGGAGCGGTCGCTCCTATCGAACAGAGCGGTCGCTCATATCGAACAGAGTGGCCGCTCTAAAGATGGGAGCGGTCGCTCCAAAGCTTCTGCAAAAAATCCCAATTCCGGATGGAGCGGTCGCTCCAAAGGGTGGATCGGTCGCTCCAAAGGGTGGAGCGGTCGCTCCAGTGGTTCTGCCTGGACAACTCGATTTCAAACGCTCATAACTTCTTCATTTCTTGCTCAAATTAGGCATGTGACTCGTCGTTAGAAAGCTCTTGGACTATAATTTCATCTCCAATTTGAATCACCTGAAAATTTCTTGTAACGAAGAAGATATGGCTGATTGAGTTTGAGTATTGCATTTTTTATCAAGTAAAAGCTTTTCTTTCTCATCCTTGTTCCCATGCTTCATCTTCAACCATCAATTGTAAAATTAAGACGCAAGGATCGCTTTTATTCACCTAGGTCATGTTATAAAATAAGGAATATATCCAAAAAGAAGATTGGAGCCATAAATGCCACTAAACGAGTCATATAGCCATATAACCCGTAGGTTTCAAGGATGCTCCCGCATCAATATCAGTATCTTTCTTTAAAGTACAATACTCCATCCGTCCCTTAAATGCGTGCTTATATTCCTTATAAAGGTGTCCAAATATTTTTCATGTTCCAGAATTTTTTTTTAAAGGTTGTACTTTTTGACACTACTACCCTGATTAAGCTTATTTAATTCCTTTCATCTCTTCTTTTTTTTGAGTTTGGAAAAATTGTCAAAAATAATATAACATTTGAGCGGTCTACCAAAAACAAGTCAATCTTTTGATTATTTTTGAATAATACAACCTTTAGAGGGTATCCCCTTTGAACAAGATATTTTACCTACAACCTAGATGATTGTTGATAAAATCGTAGAACAGCTTAATTAACCTCTAATTAAAACTATAATTGTGATTAAATTTTTAACAATTAAAATACTTTTTTTTTTTATAAAAAAGACCCACCCCCTCTTCCCACCAGCCAGCCAGCCACCACCACCATCACCACCTCCACCTTCACCCCAACCTGTTTAGGGTAAAAAAAATGCCCCATCACATGGTCCAATCCTGTAGTGACACGTGACCCAATAAAAGGGTGGCACATGTCTCAATAGGAAGACGACATATGGCAAAACAAAGGAGCACCTGAAAGATAGAAGGCCTCCTTACATCAGGAGGCCCAAATCCCGAGAAAGGCGCCATAACGACGCCCCCAAAGGATACGTGTCCTACCTGATTGCGCCAATCATATCACTCCTTTTTAGGGCACCAACCCTAGAGTGCACAAATTCCAACCCCTATAAATACCACAATCATTTATGATGGGAGGGGTGGATAGAGTCATATCATTCAAGGTATATTAAATCGCTCTAACTTCTCTCTACTTTCTCTCTCTAAAATACTTTCATTTTCCGATCACTAACATGATCGTCGGAGGCGAATATTCCGTCAAACGGAATATTTGTTGTTTTTGCAGGTGTCCGCGGCTGTCCGGCTATATTCACTACCTGCATCCCGAGGGATTCCAAAAAACCCCAAAACATTTGGCGCCGTCTGTGGGGATACACGTCTAAAATGGCTAAAGACGGTCAGACACCCGGTCCTGGTCAGGACGGCCATGTAGAAAATATTGAAGTCAACATAAATAGCAATGATCCTCTGATCGCCTTGTTCCATGAGGCCAATGATCCTCTTGTAAGGGCCGGCTCCTTGTAGGCTGCTTTGGCCAAGCTCCGAAATGAGTTTGAGGGCAGGATACCCTCTTCTTTTAGGCATCCGCCTAGGAAAGAAGGAGAGAATACAAAAAAGAAGCCCCATGCCCAGGCGGTCAATTCTGAAGACGCGTGTGTCACTCCATTCAGGAGGTATCCGGGGTCCCCTAGGGTGCCTCGGGCAAACAGGTCGAGGCTACTTGAGAAATCGAAGTTGGCTGGGGGGCAAACGAGTTGTCCCAGCGCTTCAAGGATGTCAGAGACTACCTTTGGCACAAGCAGGCACAATGCTACTACTCAGACATTGCTTCCATACCAACTCGGATGAAATGTCAAACCATACCAGCTCGGCTAGGACCAGCAGAAGTCAAGCTCATTGTACTCTGACTCCAGTTCCTTTATCTCAACCAGCTCAATTTTAAATGCCCTATAACTATGGTGCAATTCTGCCACCTACTCCCCCTATGTATGGTTAGTACGGGCAATACGACCTGCCGTACGATCAGGCAGCTTACCTGTTCAAACCGATCGCACAACCTTAGCCTATTGATTGGCAAATGTGCTTGTTGACTCTTGGTGACAAGCCACCTCCGTTTTCTCAAGAAATTCTCAACTCTCCCTATCCAGTTAAAGTGAAAAGTATACTTGTGGGTGCCTATGATGGTACGGGCAACCCTAAAGAGCATGTCTCCTCGTACAGAAATATGATGTACTTGCAAAATGTGGACGATGCCAATTGGTGCAAACGCTTCCCGATCACCCTCAAGGGTGTGGCTCAAGACTGGTTCAACAGTCTACCGGCCGGATGCAAAAATTATACTACAACTCTCAGCTTGTTGTTCGTTGGAAACTTCTCCAACAATATACCACCCCGGAAGACTAGTCTTAACTTGGTGACCATTGTCCAAGGGAAGAAAGAGGGGTTACATTCGTATATTCAAAGGTTTAACATGGAGAAGCCACAAATTCATAACCTGCCGGACGAAATGGCCTACTCGGAGTTCTTTTAGGATTAAGGCATAATGGTTTCAAGTTTGACTTGATTAGAAAAAAGATTCGAACATATGCAGGCGTTCTACGGGAGGCCAAATCATATATTAAGGTAGCTGATTTTTGTTCTCTAACAAAAGCAGAGGAGCCGGCTAAGGGCGCCGAGAAGAAACCATATTCTCAGCAAGACTCGGCCGGCAAAAAGAAGGAAGAAAGTAACAAAAGAAAAAAAAAGAAGTCTGGGTGGCTGATTGCTCG